CAGATAATATAATGTTTGAATACAACGTAGCTTGAATCAATACTAATTTGAATATTCGTTAGTACTAGCATTAATGTTGTTGCCGATCTTTTTTTAAGTTTAAGATTTGGGAAACATGCTGATTTTTTGTTTGTCCTTCGGGTTACTTTTTTTTGGGTAACATTATAGTGAAACCCGACTCTCGTCAAGATGCACACATTGTAAAAGTCGACATTTATTCCACCTGTTTGCCAAAAAAATTATTTTTGTTAATATTTTTAGAACTTTTGATTTTTAAAAAAATGTTTTGGGTTCAACTATTTTATTTCAACTTAAAAACGCACTTATGTATGGATTTTTATTGAAAACGTTTGGTCAAATGTCACTAAACATGTTACTTCCCCTTTCATAGGACGCAAAAGCTTTGGAAGCTACCATACTTTGGCAGCCTTTTTTCTAGCTAAATTTACTCTGAATACTGGCGACCCTGACTTCCTTCAACTGCAAATGTATCAACTTCTGTACAATAATAATAATAAGAGCATTAATTATATCCCGCCTTTCCCCACAGCATGGGCCCAATGCGTACATAGGAGATTAAAAACGCATTCATACTAACACCGTACAAATTCATCATGTGCGCACTTTTTGACAGCAACATTCTTTCCGACAATTAAAAAAAAGTGCTCATACAAAAAGGCAAAAGTACTGTTCATTAATTAAAATGTTTCTTAAATTATACAAGATAGACAAATGGTTGAGTGGGGTTTTTTTTTCAGTAATGTCATTGCAAAACAATAGGCATTAAGGTTATACCAACACCACTATTTATGCAAACTTTGTCGTGCACCTTTTTCCACTGTGTCGGGACATATCAGTATGTTATAAACAGTTGATTGCTTTTAAGTACAAGAAGGAGGAGGAGGTCCCGAAATGTGCTATTTTGAGAAAATAAAAAAAGGGAAGTATTTTTTACCCTTGTTAAGCTTCTTTAAAATACACGGCGTTTTCTCTATAACCAAATAAATATACACATACATGAAACTTAACTTCTTCTAAAGGTCCAATACCCACTTCTGGTCACGATTTCTGGAAACCCCGAAATCTAGGTTAGCCCGCTTGTCCTTAAAAAAGACCAATTCTTTTTTTCTCCGGCCGCCTGAGACCTAGTCCGTTTAGAAGTCTAATCAGCAGCATGTCTATTTGCACGCCAGTCCATCTATTTGCGTGCCAGTTCATCTATTTGCAAAATATGTGGGGGGGTCCGCACCCTGTGGGGAACATCTTTATTAATATTAAGGCTTCAAGGGAAAAAAGGTAATATTCTACTAACGACATCTTCTCAGAATGGGCGTTACTTAAAAGGATAAAATCATATTCCTGTTACCATGGAAACGAAGTTTCATAGGACTCTCGAACTATATAAATCACGAAGCCTTGACAGCCATTTTCTCAGTAAGCTTATCTATGAAACCCGGTGACGGCACCTCCTTCAATCGCAAATAGTTCGACTTCTTTTCAGGATATATGGGTATATATAAACAAGATTTAATATTTATAATACAAATGATTCCATAAGCCTCAAAAGTTGACGTGCACCTGATTCCACCGTGTCATGCCAATTATTATAACTGGTTTTTTTTCGTGGAGATTTAATAAATGTGTTTGTAACTGCATACAACCCCCCCCCCCCCCCCAAACCAAAAAAAACCCAAATCACACAAATAGAAAAAAATACACCGAACCCTAAACTTCGTGGTGGTTTAAAAAATCTCTTGCTATCCAAAATTGAAATCCTACATTGTCTAGTACTGTTCGATACTGTAAGTGATGACATCGACGTCGCTCTTCCTCGGTGCCGCCATTTTGGGGGTCAGCCACGGGTAGATTCGACATTTCGATTTGACAAACTGATACAAAAATGTGAACGAGTCGAATGCCTAATTTACTCTAAGGTATTGAATAAAGAGGGGGTGGGGTTGGACAAGAGGTAAAAAATTATAAAACAGGGGCGAGCGGTTGGGGGGGGGGGGGGGGAAGAAAGAGGAGGGGGTGGCCCATTCAACCTCATACCCCAGTACTAGTTTTATTTCTCCTTCCGTGAATAAAGGAACAGGAGATCATGAAATTTTACTGGTTTTAGCAAGCTACTGTGACAACTTTTCCCATTTAAAATCTAGTGTTTTATAGCAAACCAGTTTCATTAAAAAATATAAACCAATGTACAATGTTTTTTAAAATGCACAAAAAATTGAGGTAGTCAACCCAGTACCGCTACAAACACTGAGGGTAATTAATTGTCATTTACAACAAGAACAAAAAAAAGGTTTAATTCAGATATCTAGATTCCAGATATTATAATGTTTCACATGATCGCCGGTCGTGGCAAGCTGGATAATAATGAACTGGGGATATGGAATAAGGAGAGGAGGGTGGGCGAAAAACTGCAAATTAATAAGCAGTTGGGGGGGGGGGGTTATTCGATACCTGAGAGCAGTGCAAGTAGGATTCATTCAATTCCGCAAGCTGAAAAGATCAAGGTTTGTAAATAGTCCGCCTTGTATTGTTTATAAAATAATTTTTTAAAAACTAAACGTTCATATGGGAATACCTTATTTGTGAACGTGGGAGGTCGTTTGAAGAATTTCCTTGGTTCGTGGATAAGGTCCTTTGCGATGGACTATTTCACTTCGGAATAGCTCTCTCTCTCTCTCTCTCTCTCTCTCTCTCTCTCTCTCTCTCTCTCTCTCTCTCTCTCTCTCTCTCTTTCTCTCTCTCTCTCTCTCTCTCTCTCTCTCTTTCTCTCTCTCTCTCTCTCTCTCTCTCTCTCTCTCTCTCTCTCTCTCCCCCCCCCCTTTCCCTCCATCTGTCTCTTGCTCGTTTTGCTATCAATAAAGCCATTTCATACAAAAATTACTGTAGGCATCACGTTTCATTTATTTATAGCGCCTTTTCTGTTGCAATACATTTGGTTTATTGTATCATTTTGCTTGTTGGTGGTCGGTGGGTGATCTACTGTGGTTTGCTCCTTTACCTCATTCCTATCAAATACGTATCATCCGCATCTCTCCAAATGCGTTTTTTTAATGTTTGCTATTTTCTTGCACCCCTGTATTCTTCGGCACTTATGATATTATTGCCTTGTTGTATTTCACGTGCTGTAAAACTGTTATTAAAACAATATAAAGCAGGGTGTTTTAGCTCATGGTAAAAGCCGAGAGCCGAAAGCCGAATGAAATGTTAATGCAGTAGTAAATTTTAGAATTAGAAAAAAACTGTGACGAAACAAATCGTACAGTCAAAATTGTTTAATTAACTATAAATCCGAAAAGAGACCAAACAGAGAGCACGCTGTTAGCCAAAAGGCATTTACAATTCTCTTTACATCTCTTCGGCCTTGCGTACGTCAGTCAAAAATAACCTAATTCGGCAAAATCCGATTTCACTGTATTCGAGCCGTAGGTAGACAGATAGATAGGAAAGAAAGAAACCTGATACATAGAGATAGATAGATAGATAAGTAGATAGATAGATAGATAGAGAAACCGCACGTTTTGCCCCTTGAGATTTGTGCCTATAAAGCGGCAAAGGGCGTGTCTTGGGACTGATATCCTGCCCGCTAAACTTAATAATAAAGGCCCAATTCAATCAAGATTTCTTCGGGTTTCTTCTTGGAATCTCCCGGCGAAAGGCATTACCATAGCGTTTAACCTCGGGGACTAGCGCTTTTTATATAATATGCCGGGACGGGAATGCGATCCTCTAGCAACCAATAAAACAATCACATCGGAACAGACATACGCACACACAACCTTTATTTCCCGCCTCCCCCTACTCCTTTCCACATCTGCCAAATTGCTCATCTCTCTCTCTCTCTCCTCTCTCTCTCTCTCACACACACACACACACACTCACACACACACACACACACACACACACACACACACACACACACACACACTCCCCCCCTCCCCCCTCCTCTCTCTCTTTCTTTCTCTCTCTCTTTCTCTCTCCAAGTATCTCTCTCGTTCTCTCTCTCTCTCTCTCTCTCTCTCTCTAACTTTCTATCTCTCTCTCTAAATCTCTCTCTTTTTTTCTCTCACTTTCTATCTCTTATTGTCTCTTTCTTTCATACACACAAACACACAGACACACACACACACACACACACAAACCCCCGCACACATACACACACACACACACACACATGCACACATACACACACTCAGACACGTAAACATGTGAGCGTTGGGATGTCGTTCACTGGCTTGCAATCTTAAGTGTACATTGAAACAAAACACACATACACACACTATAACTCATACAAAAAACACGTTTACTATGACTTATTTTATTCTAGTGACTTTTGCTTCCTTAATCGTTACTTAGAGTCTATTCCAGTTTTGCGTGTATGGAGCACAAACTGAAAGCTTCTAAAATGAGAGTCAGTGAGACTCACTTGTTCTGTGTCAGAAGGCCTTTTATTGGCGTTAGAAAGTTGTTGCAACAACGCAAGCTGATAAAATAGGACATTCGAATAAAAGCCTCTAAGAGGCAGGAGCTGTTTGTTCATTAGGACAATAGAGACGGGGAAGCAAGCCTTCGAAGAAAGTTCTAAAGTCGCTTTTAAAAGTACAATGCATTATTCGTTTTGTTTTGTTTTCATTTCGTTTTGTTTTTTAATAAGAAGCTGAGCAAACAAATTACATCATTTATTGATTACGAAGTATTCTTTGTATAAATTTACTATTAAATATTGTAGCAGGAGTTTAGTTGTTTTAAGTTTGTAGACCAGTCGTGAAAACAATCTTGAGAACATTGATCTGATCCAGAAATGCTACAATATAGATAATTACAACGACAAAGGAACAACTGAATTCCATCTTCTGTCAACTCTGTTTTCTGTCGTTCTTTCTTCTTCCCTTAGGCCCCATACAAATTAGGAAAACTTCAACCTGTTAAAAGGCTGCGAGTATGCAAATGACGCAATTTTCACCCGTTTGTCTTATTTCCCCATCAAGTAACGTCACGCTTCCAGACGCGCGAAGAGTGAAAGTCTCCCTAGTGTGTGCATGGTGCTTTAGACGCTCTGTGGTACATGAGACTACACTTAGACGCTGTCTGGAAGAGAGTGAGGTAAGACATTTTTATGTACGGCGTTGTGGTGAAATTGGGCGCTCGTCAAATTTAACGAATGCGAAGAAGACGAATAGCTAGGATAGATCTAGATGGGTATTCTTTAATGAAAAGCATGGCAAATGATCTGGTTTTATGATTATACCAGTAACTCCGCATTCCCCCAAAAGATGACGATCGCCTGATTCCACTATGCCCTGACATTCTTGAATATCCTGAAGTGTGACTTTACTGTGTGCAGATTTGGAGAGAGTGTGTGGGGAAGAGAGGGTGAGGACGTCCGGTGGGGAGGGATGCTAAGGCGTTTGTGGGTATATTTAAAGTAAGCCACTGTACTTCTGTGTGTTCCCCAACAGCTGTTAGAGGCAGCCACCTAGTAGTATGCTGTAGTTTTATCTTAAAAGACAGTATATCCAATTTTAAACGATACTGACTTATTAATTCTACCTCTCGGAAAGTTGGCGAGTGTTCTGGTATGATTTGCTCCTTCTGTCATATTATCAAACATCCATCGTCCTCATTTCTCCTCCGCTTTCTGTTTGTTTCTCTCTTGTAACCATCCAAATCGTCGGCACATGTATAACTTTATTGTGTTGCACAGGCTCTTACTAAAAGTGAAACTAAGATTCCACCTCATTGTTTAAAAATAAGGCACACTTTTCTGCCTTGGTGTGGTGTCGACGTATCGATAAATAAGGCGGAAAAAGTGGCCTGAATACGTTCAGAGAGAACGGCAGTTGAGTGGCAAACATGTGCGGGGTTTGGGTTCCTCCAGAACATTTACACAACTGGATGCACTGTTTTTTAAAAACCCTCCAGTATGAGGGAGCAAAGACGTATGGGCAAAATACGAAAACAAATAGCCGAGATAATCTAACAGCAGATTATGCTGTAATCCGATTGACCTTCAGCGCAAAGCTGTGCTTTAGTTCTTGAGGACATAAATATTAAAATTTGCACTAAGAAAATGTCAGTGGAATTAATAATGTTGAAAAAAAACAACAACCAAAGAAATAAAACAAAAAAAGCAACAAAAAAATATAACCCTAAAATCGAAACGCATGAGTTTGCAGCTTTCATTGGCACAAAACCACCTACCAGAGCTGATTTTGATTAACTACTGCAGTAAGCTGCGGTGTTACCGAAAATAATAACCCCGATTCAGGACATCAAACTCTCATTTCAGGACTCAAGCGAAAAGTCAACAGAGCGCCAAGTTGATGAAAAATATTGCTGGGACTTTTTCTTGCTAGTTTCTTGTTCATCGTGGGGTATGGTATTGATTTGGCGCTACTTTAAACGCAGTAGGCTGGACTCAGAGGAGGGCTCTCCGAATTCGACACCCATCTGCGGTGAGACCCAATCAAGTAGCAAGACAACTTTTTAAACGAACTCAGACCTTCCATCTCCTCTTTTTCGGGTATTCGAACCGCGGTCACATGCTTGATAGTCTAGTAAATATTAGTAGGATAACAGTATAACACCCCTCCCCCCCCCAAAAAAAAAAAAGGATTTCACTTTAATTCCATTTTCACCGGGATGAAAATACACAAATCCAACCGATGGGTGCCAGTAGTTTTATGGCTCAAAGTTTTGCTGAAGAGTTCCTGTGGCAGTTCGAAATGGGAAACACTGGTTTAGGGAGGTTTTTTTTTGTATAATGCTTAAACAGCTACCGTCCTTATCTCTCCTCCTTCTTTTTTACGTTTGTTGTTACTCTCTTGTAACACCTCTAATCTTCGGCACTTATATGACCTTATTGTGTTGCAAGTACCGTAAAACTCTTTACTAAAACTAAACTGTTTGGGGGTTGAGGGGGGGGGGGCGTGTTAGAAAAATATCAAAATGTATCATTTTGTCTTTTTCTAGGGCAATTAATGTATTGTCGTATAGTATCAATGTAACCTTCGATTCTTTCAAGATAGCCCAATTGTTAAAATTCTTTTGCTGTGCCCGGCTAAGCATCTCTTCCAGACACAGCCCTTTATTCCTACTTGCAGCATTCATTTGTGTCTTTGGTGTAAATGTGCTTTGCTGTCGCATGCAACAGACCAAAGTTCGATTCCCGAGTAGAGAGAACTTTTTATCAAGTGTCTCTGTCTTTCTGCTAGGATGCTGTATCCCTCTCAGGCCGGAATGATCCTAACAGGCAGGGTCAGAATCTTACCTCCTACTAATTATCTAAATTGTGTTGATGAAAGTGTAAAAACATTTACAATAAGAAAAGTGAGATTACCATAAAAAGAAACACATATAAAGAGACGTTAGTTACTTGTAATCTATAAAAAGCGCATTCGATTTTACTCTGGTTACTTTAATCTTTTGACTGTACTCTCAAGTCGGGGTTAGCTCTACGTACGGCCCACAATTCAGAATAGGCAAAGAAAATTAGCGCGATTGTTTCTCCTCGGACCCACAGTCTGTGTACACTAAGCCGTGAATGCTGCTGAAAATTGGCCCGATTCAATTGAAGTCCACTCTCGAGATTAGAGGCTTGCTCCCCAAGTTCGTTTTTTTTCTTTGTTTTTGTTTTGAGGAGTTTTGTTGTTCTTGTTTTTCTTCTAGGTTCAGTTAATATTTATTTTTTAGGTGGTTTTCTTTTGTTTTCTGGAAATAAAAAACCGTCTGTGTACCTAAGGGATTGGAAGCGGAGATTTTAAGAGGGCACCGAGTCCATTCCACTCGAATATATCCCAATAATTACCTTTCGTCTTTCAGAAATTGCTATCTCGGTTGATATTCCTCAGAGACGCAGACGAATAATTTTTTCTGAAACCTACGCTGTTAAGGGTATCCACAGAGCTTGAAATAATGAAAAGGGGAACCTTTCTTTGTCGCTCAGTTAGATTATAATTATACGCAACCTTCGAATTATAAAGTTCTATCTGACATTTTGGCCGTTTTGAGTTTACCGTCAATTTACTCAAATTTAGGTAGATTTTTCTGAGCATATATAATTTTGTAATGTTACAGTAGAGAAATATAACAAAACACGTCTGCAAAACAGCAGGCAACCCAAGACCCAAAAAGCGAGGTACTCGTCGGGAGCAAGTGATTTGAGAAGTGTGGATAAAGATGTAATTAGGGACATCATAATATTTATCCAATATCCATAACGAAATAGAATCTGCATTCTTCCGTGTTGAGCTTAATAGTAGAAAGGGTTTTGAATAAATGTAGCAATTAAACGTAGTATTTCTAGGGCTAGGTATGTACCAAGCCCTTAGTTGTTGTTTTTTTAAAGTATCAATAACGGTTGCAAATACTAAGAAAATATTATTTTGGTCTGTTTTATTTAAATTAAAATTTTTAATTTTGAAAGGAGTAAGAAAATGTACCTAATGTTCGTACACTGATTAAAAAGAAAAAATTAAACCCATGTTTCTCTATGCTGCAAGTGTTTGTTTCTTGGCTTAGAAGAGTTGAACAGCTTGATGAAAATTGCTATCATTTACTTTTTCGAAAGACACCCCCCCCCCCAAAAAAAAAACAAGCAAAAAAACAACAACAAACAAACCCAACCTAATCATGAAAACTAAAATACCAACGTCTTCTGCATTCTGTTACGTAAGTTTAGACTGTTCACGTTTATTGGGAGTGTCAAAGGGATGCCTCCAAACCTAAAGCAAACAATGTTCAGGTACATAATAGTATTGGTCGAGCAAGCTATTGAAGGGGGTGGGGTGAGGGTGGGAGGGGATGAGAAGCAGGAAATGGAGATAATTTCTTTACAAAATACGTGACAATTTGTTAGGTATTAGATCTAAATCCTTTTGAGGCACATATTTATTCTAATAAAATCTTGGTTGGGGTTTGGAGAGCTGTTTTCGTTTTCAAATCTGTCGCAATTTGAAAAATATCTATTGGTCTAAATACTTTTTGGCCATATTCTTAGAAAGTGTATACTAGCGTGGCCTTTTCCGGCTCCATATTAAAAATTTATGGAGTGCTTAGTTCCTTTTTTGGGAAAGATTGCAATTAGTGTTACAGCCATATGCGCGTCTTCGGCCTTTTGTATAGACATCTCGTCTTCAGGTCTAGAGACTTAAAATCATTCAACTATCCGTCTCGTTGTCTATCTATCAGACTCCCCCACCCTTCTCTTCTCCCTCCACCCC